CTGCTGGATGACAGAGAAATGAAAATTTAATTTATGCAGCACTAATACGGACAAGGCATTTCTTATTTTGTGAATTTTTAGTTTTTAAGAAGTGCCACTGTTTGTTTTAGCAGCCCGCCTAGGGTTATTGGGACTAATTTTTCTGATCTCCGCTCTTCATCGTCAGCTCAGGTGGTGCCCTGCAGCGCAAATCAGCTGTGCGGTATGATCGGCCTGACCTGTGGTGAGGAGAGGTAGAGAAGTCATTTGATATGACATAGTTTAGAGCACAATGAATCCAGAAAAACATCAGAGCCCCAGAACCTGTCACTCCTTGATGTCGCGCTCGCCCTGCGCAGATGAACCGCGTGTCAGACTGGTGGTTCACTCCAGGTTCACTCCAGCCTGTGGGCCAGTTCATGGACTGAACCATTGGCCCTCTGACCTGCGTCTGGGCCGGTGGTGCAGCTCGTGGGCCGGTGGTTCAGGGGTGCTGTCTCTGCACCGTGATCCGAAACATCACCAAAATTTGAAGGTGTGTTACGTGTGCTAGTATGAACATGTGATGTAAATTTCATGACAATCCGTCCACACGTTTTTGAGTTATGCTGTCCACGGACATACTGACAGACCGACAGACAGACCGACCGACCGACAAACAGACAGACATATGCGACAGAAAACATTACCTCCTTGGCAGAGGTAAAAACAACATCCATGAAATAATTTAATACTAACATCATCTTATATTGAGAATTAACAGATTTGTAGATGTTTTACTCAAACTTTAAAAACAATGTCATGTGTGATGTTGTGTACTGTTGTGATTTATTACATGGATCTGTTGGCATTCAAAGAACGTGTAAATGACTCTCAGCTACTACTCCACATAATAATAGCTCAAAATCTGTAATTTTTACAGAGCATGTAGTCATTTTCGTGCAGATTGAGGTGAATTAGCTCTGGTGACCATCTTGACTGAACTGCAAAAGTTAATCAGATCTAACATCTAATTACAGATCCATAAACTGACATATCAATTCACTGACAATAAACTAAAAAAAGTCTGTCAGCACTGACAAAATAATACTTTGTTGTCAACAAGGAATAAAATCTGAGAAGTAAAAGAAGATGATAAAAAATCTTGGTCTTTGTGTATACCAACTTTGCAACTCTTTACAACCACATACCCCACCCCCCCCTTTTTTTTTTGGCCCTGTGGGTTCTGCGTGTGGTTCTCCTGGTTCTCTCCTGTGTTCCTCTTTGGGGGTGGGTGGGTGGTTCTCGCTGCGCAGGTGGCCTTGGGGGCTCGGTGCCTGTGCTTGAGGTCTCTCTCGGGGTCTGTGACTCTGGTCCCCATTGTGTTTGCCTTGGGTCTTGGGGTCGGGTCTGTGGTCCTCCACAGTCACTATTTAATATTCCACTGGAGAAATCTTGTATTTATATGCATGTTCACAACCGCACAAAAGTAGACATTTGGATCCTGGGGTTTCTGACAATCACTGGATGTATATGTATGTATATACTGAATATGTGTGTGTGTGTGTGTAGCTTAAAATGTTGATTTATTTAATGCCTCTAACCTCATGAAAAGCTTCATCCTCATATTGAGGACATTTATTTTATACTAGTCGTCTTTTTTAAGATGAACTATTTTAAGTTTTTTTTTATTTTAAGTAAAATATATATTCATATTTTTAATTCTTAGTTTTTCAAAAAACTTTTATATTTATAAGGTTATACTAATCTTACATAGCTGAGAAATATTTAAATAAGCACAAAGCTTGGGACTCAAGAGGTTAAAACTGGTGGGGCACAGCCCCCCGTGGCCACCCCCACTTGTTGTGNGTGTGTGTGTGTGTTGTGTTGTGTTGTGTATGTTTGTATGTGTATGTGCCTGATTGTGCGTGATAGTCAGATGTCGGGTGTGGTGTCCTGTGTGTTATTGGTGTTCATTTCACATGTATAATTTCTAGCGGTTTCTCTCTTTACTTTCCTTATATTTCTCTTCTACTTTTTATTTTTCTTTCTTATATAGTATTATAAAAAAAGCCACTGATGATGCAGAAATTAAGAAACTAACATTCAGTTTTGTTTTCTACTGAAGTGGCAAAAAAAATGCAACCATACCTTAATCAGCTGTACATAAACAGCTTAACACATTTGTCAGGGGCCAAAAAATAGCTTAGCTTTAGCTTTAGTCTATTACTTAGTCCCACAAACATTAATAGTCTAATAATGAAAGTATAATGTTTCCTGTTTATTTTCAGTTACAGTTGGTAAATAGTGGCTTTCTTAAATCATTTTAAACTATTTTGTTCAGGGTTAGACATTAAAGTACTAACCTGGCTTTAGTTATCATCCAGTCAGTGTACTCCATGTCTCAAACAATACTCTCTAGTAGTAAGGACATTATTAGCTTATATAACAATGTGATTGGGCAGCTGATCTACTGGATTTGTGAGCTGGTTGGACCATCCATCCATTATCTAAACCCGCTTCTACCTTTCAGGGTCACTGGTGCCCATATCCAGTACAATGCGAGGGGCGGGGTACACCCTGGACAGGTCGCAAGTCCATCACAGGGCCACACATTGAGACAAACAACCATTCACTCTCTCACTCACAGCTAGGGACAATTTAGAGTTATCAATCAACCTAACAATCATGTTTTTGGTCTGTGGGAGGAAGCTGGAGTACCCAGGGAGAACATGCAAACTCTATCTAGAAAGGTGCCTGGGCCGGGATTTGATCTGGCAACCTTCTTACTGAGAAACATCAGATCTACCAACTGAGCCACCGCTGGTTGGGCCACGTAAATAAACAGTGTTGGGACTTTCAGCCCCAATATGTCGGCTCACCGGGAAAATACCTGCTACACCAAACGGCTAACCCACTCCTTATTTCCAAGCCAAGCTGAGCACCCCCCGACCCATCACTACCATGCCTTCAACCTTTATCTCTATCAAAACGATAAAAGAATAAAGTGAATAGCTACAAAATTTTATTTGGAAAAGGAAAAAAAAGAACTGAATATACAGAGTTTGAATTATTCAAAAGGTCTTTTTTATACATACATAAATTAATTTTTTCACAACCTCTGAACAGATGGTTATGGGCTCTCTAACGCTGGGAACCATTGGTCTACACTTGTAATCTTTTCAAAATAAACTATGGTTTTCTAAAAACACTTAGGGCACTCTGAGTATTTATTTATTTAGTCTTTTTTAAGAAGGTGGGGTAGGGAGTTAAAAAGCATACAATAAACAAGGTCATGACATTTACAACAATTCTGAGAATTGTTAAAACATTTTATGAATAAAAACACAGTGAATAACACTGTATAAAAGACATAAAATAGATGCCATTTTGAGCAAATATCTGCTGTTGTAGCTGAGATTCATCCTTATCACATAATCTGAGCACTCTGAGATTTTCACTCAAGATTATTGTTTTGGGTCAGTCAGTCAATCAAAATACAATGCTACTTTAATTTTTTTTTGTTTTGTTTTATCGTTTGCCCCGAATGTGTAAATCAAACAAACACACTGGAAGTTAGAAGTCAAGGCTGTTCATGTAAGAGAGCAGAAATATCTGATTATTTGGGTAAATCAGTGAACAAGATGCAAAGTTAAACAGGAACTCGTGAAAGAAAGGAAGGAAAGTGGACGGGAAGGAGTGGAGAGAGCAGAGGGAGGTCAGGAAGTGGAGACAGGAAGCAGAAAGTAGGAAGACAGGAGGTGGACAGTCCATCAGCGTCCAGGATGAGACAAGACTGGAGAACAACAGTCTTCCTCTGACTGACACAGGACAAGAAGACAGGCTAGTTAGACAACTTTTAAAAGTGCTGAGAAAACCTGCAGTGTTTAATAAAAATACCAACAGAAAAGTGCAGAGAGAAAAGAAAAACACAGACACACTTCCTTATTATGCAACACTGACTGAAGTTCAAACCATCAGGCAGGAAGACATCTGCCATGATCTGCAGGTGAACTCACCTTTCACCGGCTGAGGGTTGGACTGTTTCCTCCGCGGCATGTTCGCTTCTGACCGGCCAGATCTGCTCTGCTCCGATGGAGACTGTCCTCTCACTCCGCCGGGCCGTTTATCAGCCCGCGGAGCAGCCAGCTAACTGCATGTCATCATCATCATCATCATCATCATCATCATCATCATCCCCTCCTTCCTCTTCCTCCAACCGACACCGGCGAAGGTGGCGTCTTCACTGCCGACTTCCTGGAACAGATCCACACTAAACTGTTTAAAACCACAAAACTGTACCAAAATCAACACTTTATGAATTAAAATTTCACTTTAAAATGAAGTTTAATAATAAACAACATCACGCTCACATATGTCACGTTGAGGCTCACGCTGACAACCAATTTATGGTATTATTTTCCAGCAAATAGACGGAGCCGTCTCGCAAGCCACAGGATAAGTTTTATGTTGAATAATTAAAACTTCCGTTTAAACCTCCGTTTACATCTACAGGCCTTGACTCGCTCTAAAACAGACCTGTGATGTAAAAGTCCGTAAAAATAATCCGTTACAAAGTGGGTCGAAATAATACAACCAAAACCCGTTTTGTTGTTGGACAAATCACTTCTGACAGCTCTGTGCCGGATCCGGGCTCCACGTGACGTCATTGACAGGAGCAGAAAAGGATTGTGGGGGATGGCGTTCTTCTGAAGGACTCTTCTCACCTGACATTTGCTTTCATTTTAAAGATAAAAAATTGTGCTTTATGCGATTAAAATTATACAAAAGCGTTAAAGGTTTTTTAAAATAATATATTTTACATTTTATTTTTTCCTTTCCTGCATCCTCCTCATTGAGCATCTCCATAACCACTTCCCTGATTTGTCCATGACTTTTCCCTCTAACACTTCATTTATTCTTTTGTCCTTCTCTTTCTTTGATCGTGTGCTGTTTATCTGACTGAAACTTGAACACTCTCAGATCACAATCTGTAAACATCATCCATTGGGATTCTTGCCTGACCACACCTGTCAGTCTGTCCATCATCACAGCAAACAAAAAGGATATCAGAGCCAACTCTTGATACTGTCCCACACAGAGAAGCTCTCTGACACTCCTGCAGCACACCTCACTGTCACTGCTGTACAGTTGTCCTGTATAGCAAGCCCTGTAGACCAGGGGTGTCAAACTCATTTTCACAGAGGGAACGGAGACAGATTTGCACTTTATGATCAGCTGCCGCTACGTTTGTTTGAGCATATCCGCTTTTAAACTTGCAGACCTAAATAAATTGACTAGCGCTTTAGAAATTTCGCAACTAACTTTTGAATACTGCCCACCACTGTTCCTTAGTTATGCTGCTATAGATGGAGGACCGAATCGGACATAATTAGAAATAAAAGCAGAAATATATAAATAGACTTATAAGTAAATAAATAAACTTAAAATTAAATTAAAAAGGATAACTTTACCTCATGTTTTATAACATATAGGAAGGAGCAGGATCCATGTGCAGCTCTACCATGTGCTGCTGGTGTGCTGCTCAAGATAGGAGACTGTGATGAAGTGAAGATTCAATACAGTCTGCTGGCTTCTTTAGATTTATTTTCTTTCTTTCTTTCTTTCTTTCTTTCTTTCTTTCTTTCNTCTTTCTTTCTTTCTTTCTTTCTTTCTTTCTTTCTTTCTTTCTTTCTTTCTTTCTTTCTTTCTTTCTTTCTTTCTTTCTTTCTTTCTTGTCAATGTTATGATTTGTGTCTGTGTTAATGTTTTATTTTAGTTTCTGTCTTGTCGTCTGTTTTCTTCCTCCTGTCTGCAGCAGTATTTAATCCAGTCTCAGTTTAGTTTTATTATTTCATCTCATGTCCCAGTTTACCTGCTCAGTCTTGTTCCCAGCCTTTCAGTTCACATCCAGCACCCACTCATTGCTCTCGCCCCTCCCGTCACAAACTCTAATCAAGCTCATTCCACTCACCTGTCTGTACTCATTAGTTTCTCCTTTATATTCTGTCCCTTGTCTTCAGTCTGGTGTCAGATCCTTGTTTGCTGTTCTCATGTTTTTGTTTGCGGTTTGATGTTCTTGTTCTTGTTCTTGTTCTTGTTCTTGTTCTTGTTCTTGTTCTTGTTCTTGTTCTTGTTCATACCCTTTGTTATTGTTTGCTGCCACGCCAGCACTTTTGTTTTTGTTTTATTAAATTATCTTTTTTGCCACACTCACCCAGTCCTGCATCTTGGGGTTCAAACCAACCAAGCCAAATCATAACAGAAGGATCTGACCACACCTGAACCCCAGCAGACTGAGGTGAGTTTTTTTTGTTTGTTTGTTTCCAGCACCGGGAGGGTTATGGAGAGTTTTATTTTTTCTTGTGGTGGCCCTGAGTCTGATTGCACTCTGGCTGGTATCCTGAGAATGGTGGAAAAGACACAGCGCGAGCTGGCTGTCCTGAGGGGACTCTTTTCTTCAGGGTGTCCCTCAGACCTGGCTCCTCAGGGAGATTCTAAGACCCACCCTTGCCACCCCTCTGATGCTGGACCTCCTGCTCCAGCTCCTGCTGACCCTCCGGCCCTGGTTCCTGTGGGCCCTCCGGCCCTGGTTCCTCTGGGCTCTCCAGCTCTTGTTGGGCCTCCTGCTGAGTCCTCTGCACCTGAGGATCCTGGTTTGGCTGCCGTCCACGTCGCCTGGTTCGGCTGCCGTCCCCTCTTCGTCGCCTGTGTTCGCCGTCACCGAGGCTCCTGCTCCATCAACCTCCGACGGCTCCTCGTCAGCTCCCGCCTCCTCCCTCTGGCTCTGCTCAGCTCCTGGAGCCTCATCAGACATGGAGTGGGGATCTCCAGGTCGTCCTCCTGACTTTGGCCTCTGCGGCAGGGAGGTTCATGGCCGGCCTCCTGAACTTTTGTTGTGGGACATCAGGAGCCGTCCCTTATTGGGGGGGCTATGTTATGATTTGTGTCTGTGTTAATGTTTTATTTTAGTTTCTGTCTTGTCATCTGTTTTCTTCCTCCTGTCTTCCTGTCCTCCTGTCTGCAGCAGGAATCAGCAATCATCCCAATTCCTAAAATGTCAGTCAAAGAGCTTGGAGGACTACAGGTCAATGGCCTTGCAATCAGTCTTGCATAAATGCATGGAAAAAGCAGTGTGTAAGCAGGTGCTCCAGAATTTTGTTCTTACCCTTTTAATTGGCTTTTAACACTGAACACCAATTACATTGTTATCATCTTTCTGACCTTTGCATTCACCCCACTGGTTTCATAGAGCTTTATAAAGGACAGACCGTAAAATGTATTTTTAATGCTAGAAAAGATAGTAAGTTTGTACACTGCTCCAAGTCTTTGCTTAAAGTTAATTGGTGCTTAATTATCAAGGAGTCGTGCTGTGGGTCTAGAGAAGGATAACCAGAGCATTTGCTCCAACCACTCAGTATCCAAGATTAGTGGGTGGAGCAGGTACTGAGTTTTAAGTATCTTGGAACAGAGACCCATCTGTTTGTTTCCCCAACATGGAGACTCTGCATGCAAAAAGCATCAACAGGGTCTCCATCTTCTCAAAAAAATTGTATTTAATTGTTTTGCACAATTTTCCCCAAACATCATTGCAGTAGATCAAGTGTGGAACAATTATTGTATTATATAATATAAACAGACCTTTATCATTAAATAAATCCTTTACTTTGTATAATACTGCAATGGACTTGGCTATTTTTGTTCTTAAATGATTTATACGAGGTCTCCATGTCAGCTTTTCATCTATGATAACACCCAGAAACTTCACCTCACTGACTCTACAAATCTCAATGGTTGAGATCATAGTTTATCAATATACATGACATTATATTAGGTATTATGTGAAATAAGTAGTGAGACATTTGAAGCAATAAAAGGTGGAGAGATGGAGGAAGTTCAGGTCAGGTCTGAAATTAGTTTAGTGGAATATGTATTAGCTTGTTGATGCTTTTTAAACATAATTTTTATCATGAGAAGAAGAGAGAGGAGAACAGGTGGAGCATCAGGATGTGAAGTCCTGTTTAAAAACCAAATTAATTATAATAGATGTAGATTGAACAGGTGAGGACTGATGTCAGGTTGATGTTTCATTATTTCCACAGTTATAAGGGTTTGGGTTAGGTTGTGATTAGGTTGTCTGCTGCAGAACAACTCCCCAGTAGAGTTCTGTCCATTTAACTGGTGAAATGCTTCTCCATAGTGATCAATACATGAATTTTTTTCTTGTTTAATTTAAAATGAGCCACCTTTGGGTTCAGGAGTGTGCTTCATCTCTGAAGCCATTTTGTATGTTTAGCAGCAGCAATGCAGGGACTGCACAAAGGAGACAAGAGGAGAGGAGGTACAGAGCTGGAGCTCTTGAAATAAATTAGTGAAAACTTTTACTGTAAATTTTACTGTAGGCAGTGCTGTAAACAGAGCTGACAGCATATGAGATGTAATGCATACATCTGATCAGCTGTATGAAAAAAACCTTAACAGACACTTTTTAGCATCTGTAAGTCACTTGCTGGTGCTGTACATTACTGTATGTAGTGTTCTCTGTTGTAAATATGTTGATGTCATGCAGGGAGATCAGAGGCAGGAAGTCAGAGTGAGGGAGAGACAAGAGCAGACCAACAGGTAAGAGAGAGGAACATAGAAAGGTATTTTATATTAGAAAATCTTGTGATGGCAGTAATATTTGTAAATATTGCAATGGTGATATCAGATGTGATCTATGTCTTTTTTTCTTTCCTCTCTTTCTAATCTGTACTTCCTATGTGACTTTTAGTATTTTTGGTCAGGTGTGAGCTTTTGCTGCCATGTGACCCTGATTAACTTTCTGGGTTGTGTTTACATGCTCTCCCTGTCCATGATTGGGTTTTCTCCAGGTACTCAAATTTTCTCTCTCAGACCAAAACCACATTTAATAAAACTAATTTCTCATATAAAAGCAAATAACTTAGTTTGGGATAACACTACTGTAGATGTAGTTTGTAATTGTGCTTGTTTTAGTCTTTATTTCCAGTTTTGTGTTTTTATAATTTCAGTTTTTCTTCACAAAAGTTAACATCAACAAGCAAACAAACCTTTTAACATACTTAGAAGAGGTGATGGCTTTGAAATTTAAAAAGCTTGTTCCTTGTAAATATATATTTTGATATTTTTAAATAAAATGACAGACATCACAGCAATTATTTTTGAAGAGAAGTTTCCCATCACATTTTAAATTTTCATTCATTTGTACCCCAACATTTACCATAAAATATTAGTTCACTCTGTGTTGTTTCTCTTGCTTAACCTGTTAAAATACACCAGAATGCAGGAAATGGGATCTACTTCTTTCAAAAGTTTCTGGGGGAGGAACCCCAAACCCCCCACCAGTGGGTCCCCCCAACATTACAAATACTTCTGATGCCACTGAAACATGTAACGATGTGAGGAGAATTTATGGTACTCCATGTGTAAAGATATAGAACAATTTAGAAATGGGCTGTTGTGGAAGTGCAGATAGTTGGATATTACAACCACATAAAACTTATGTTATGGATGTTAGTTTTGAAAAAAAATTCTGCAGGCGCCACTGATGACACAGTGTAGATATAATTCCTCACTTCACCATCTGTGTCGCAGCTTCCCATCTCCAAAATGAGCGTACGCATGGGTCAGAGCTGGTGTGAGAGACCGTGCATGTTCACACCAAGTTTGGGTAAATAAATCACAACCTTTGTGTGAAAAGTGGCGTACGCAAGTTTCTGGGCTCGTCTTGTGCACACACAAGCTTTATAAATGGACGGTTCACACAGACTTTAAATGCCTCAGATCCAAATCTGATAAAGTATGGAAATAAGTCATAGAAACTCAGCTGAGAATTGGTCTGAGCTCCTCTTTTGCCTCTCATAAAGAAACAATTTATACCCAAATGATCCCTTGAAACACGTGTCCCTGACAATCTTTGTTTTTCTGCTTCCTTTAACACTCATTATCACCCCTGCAGGATATCCAGGCCCTGTTTATCACTCTCAGCATGATAGGAAAGTTTGCTGTTGCAATCGCCTTTGGCCTCATCTACCTGTACACCTGCGAGCTTTACCCAACCATCATCAGGTAAGAACACGTCCAGATACAGTCACACATGTTGTCATAAGCACAGTGGCCAATATGCTGAGGGTGGAAGCACATATAACCATAAACATTAGGTTCACAACTACTAATCTGCCAAACAGAAATAAAAAAAATATGGAAGCTAACTCTCTAATGCTAACATGACCGATGGAGTCACAAGTATTTGCCTTATTTCAGTTGATTCATAAAGCAACTATTGTTGTCACTGCTTCTCTGAGGGCTGTTTGTTAAAGTCATTATATTTAGGCTCTTTTATTTTTGACTCATTATTTACCCGAACAGCTGATCCCGACTGCATTTTTACCCCCGTCAGGTCTCTGGCAGTAGGCAGTGGCAGTATGATGTGTCGTGTCGGCAGTGTGGTAGCACCGTTCTGTGTGAACCTGGCTGACGTATGGATCTATCTACCTCAGGTACACAAGCTCACCTTCTCCTCTGCAAGCRTCCAAACCCCACATCGTGTTTAATGTTCAGTCAACAGACTTAAAACGTGCGTTTCAGGTTATTTCTTGCAGCTTTAACATTTTCCATATGGCTCAGACTGCTAAAAAGATCTACAAGTTGCCCAGTTTTAATGTTGTCTCATATATTCTGAATGTATGGAATTCATTCTGCTAGTTGACTTAAAGCACATAAGAAAAAAAATACATGATTTGAGTCTGCAGCTGTCATGCAGAAAACTGCAGACATCAAGGTCTGGATTTGTTCAGTCCCTCAGGGTGGAAGAAAAACCTGAACACAAAACTGAATCCTCTCAGTTTTATCTACAGGTGAAACCAAATGTAGTTATCCCAGAGTTGCATCTGCGTTTTCTTTGACACGGAGCCGAAAGGAGGTTTTCACAGAAACCAGTTGCTTCCCAGCAAAGATAGTCTGTCTGTGCGTGTGTGTGTGTGTGTGTGTGTGTGTGTGTGTGTGTGTGTGTGTGTGTGTGTGTGTGTGTGTGTGTGTGTG